TTTTTTAATCGGATCAAAATGGGAGTAAGGCACAGAGTCCGGGGTGGTAATGGGCGTATTGTGTCCAAATTTCATGGTTTTCGGACAATCGATGCCGGTGTCACGGCGAAATTCCACTTTTTTCCCCTCATGGAAGCCGTAAATTGACTTGAAGCCAGGGTCCTTGAAGTTGTACAGCTGCACCCGGTGACCGATATTTATTTAACGGGGAATAAGTGATAATTCATATTATAGCAGTAAATAATTAAAATATTTCATAGGGATTATAATAATATGTATATCTTGTCTGGGTACAGGGTTAAAACCAATATTAAATTCCGAAAATCGTTTTTTTGCTAAAACTCTTTTTTTTTAATGGGATCGAAATGGGGGTAAGGCACAGAGTCCGGGGTGGTAATGGGCGTATTGTGTCCAAATTTCATGGTTTTCGGACAATCGGTGCCGGTGTCACGGCGAAATTCCACTTTTTTCCCCTCATGGAAGCCGTAAATTGACTTCGAAAAAAAACGACGAAAGGCAGGTGACAAGAACAAACGACTTGAACGAATGCAGGTATCACCTTGAAATTTTCAGGGTACCTAGGTACCAACGTGAAAAGTTGCTCGCCGGAATTTAGTACTCATGGTACCTTTGGTTCTAGCGTAGCGCATGCGCGAAGTCAAATCCAGCTAAACTCGAAAACAACCTTGTCGGCACGGAAAACATCAAAGGAGAAATTCGAATTTTTGAAATGTTCAAATACCAAACGTTCGACCATGATCCAGGCTATCCTGGAGACATATTCTCTAGGTCACGACCAATTGTATATGTTTTCAAGCCCATAAATGTGGATTTTTCACTAATTGTCATTTTCAATTCAAAATGGCGTCCATCATTTGCCGGAAATCAAAATTGTGTTATCTACCGTTTTTCGGCTTTCCTTCAAGGATTCGGAAAATATAATTGCCTTGTCTGTAAGTAAAATATCAAAAAAGCCTTATGTAATTTTCACATTTCAAGATGGTGGCATTTCCGGTTTGAGCTACAAACTCAATTTTTTGTGTACGAATCAGTAGTGTCGTAGCTAGTAAAGAAAAAAAAATCAAGGCAATCTGACCTATATTTCGTCGATTTTTTTGAAAACTTTGATCCTTAATTTCATCAAGGGGAGATAATTTAGAAAATTTCTAATGATATTTTTGAAGTCGCATTGATAAGATCTACTTACATTCTAAATTTCATGAAAATCGTGCAACTATTAAAAAAGTTTTCAAATTGATCTCAACTTCCGGTTCAAAATCACAGCGACGAATTTTCGAAATTCGAAAATGCAGATTTTAAGTAAATGTTTCAAGGCACCCCTCAAAAAAAGAATTAGTAAAATAGGTCAAATAGTTACAAAGTTACAGTAATGTAGGTCAAATGAATTTGTTCGTAAAATTCGGTGATTTCGGATTCGAAAAACGATTTGAAAATATATTTAATCAACATTCGTACCCCATTTTTGGGGGGGTAGGTCAAAGTTTCAGATTGATCCTATTGTTAGATTCTGAGAAATCCGATTTGTAGAAGTGACACAAAAAAAAAAAAAATAATAATAGGAACAAGTGGTATCAGATGCCTCAGAGAGAATATTCAAATGTTCCTTGTGATACGTTTGTAACACAATTATAACCTAATGTATTACACGGGAGTGGAGTGGGTGGGTCGGGGGGCTTTTCGATTGGCAGGGGACTATTAAAATGGGTAAGCAGAGATAAGCAATTTGATGAAACTTTGTGTATAGTTTCATTACATTAGTACCTTGACCATATTACCATGACCAAATTCGACAATGAGCATTCTCTTAGTCAGGATAAGCAAAGCAACTTGATTGGCCGGGACTTTGAATTGGTTGATGCTTTGGGGTATGATAACTTTGGTTATAATGAAGTACTGGAACATAACAACCCAGCTTTTAATTGAGCTAGAATGTTTAAACTTGGTGTAGATGTTCATCAGGTCTTGACTGAACATTTTGAGCTACAGCTTGGCAATTTCATTGGTCGATGCTTTGGGACAAGATAACCTTGATTTCTATCTGACAGAGAGTGATGAAATTTACAGTATAGTTTGATTGCTCGATACTTTTGAAAAAAATATGAAAGTGCGATTAATTAATGTGTCATCTTTTACTTTGGGGTTTTGGCGGGAGACATCAGCCATACTGTTTGCTTGTTTAATATCCCCTATACAATATACGCTCGACCTCATTACCCGAACTGGGGTAGAAAAGTGGGATCTTTGACAATGAGACAATGAACTTGTACATTCTTTTGCAGCTGCACAAGAGGGAACATCAACGCCGGATTAACCATGGTGGTGGGGAGGGGGGCTGATACCGACCGTGAAGCCCCGCAAGGGGGTCGGGTCAGGGGGTTCTCCCGCTAAGAAATTTTAATTGGAGGCCGAAAACGTGATTTCATGGCATTTCAGGCACTTGTGTCGGAGCCATTTAGAAATACCTCCCCCAGAAAAATAAAATTCTGCCACAAAATTAGCCACAATCCATGCGGGTGCTGTGAAATTTCTAGAGGAGGGAGCTGGAACCCATGAGCCCGTTAAATTCGCCACTGTAAATGAGCAGAGCTACATCAAACCTAATTTTGAGTCCCTCAGTGATAAATAACTTGATTCAAAATCGTATTATAGCCCCAACGACGATTTGATGAATGGAGACCGTAACGTTACGACAAAGTCTAACACTGTAAGTACCAAATAGTCATACGAGATATGTGCATCTCATCAAATTCAGCTTATACCATACCCACAATAATGTTACGGAGTCAGTGAGTTCAAGTTAGACAATACGCTGACCTTCCACTGACCATGCTTATAATATAAAATCTGTCAATGACAGCTGATTCATTGTTTAGTTTTTTATATGATATATTTAATATCAATAATATATGTATATGCATGCTTTATTTTACTTTACACGACCTCTAAAAATGCCCCAAATCGTAAAAATACGACTTTTTGGATTTCGATCTCCTTTTTTCGGCTACCCCGGACATTTTCAAAAAATGATACAATGATTTCACACAACAGGCCAGCTATTAGCCTCTCGATTGACAAGAGTTTCATCGCCCTCCATTCATTATAACCAATGTCATCGTGCCCTAAAGAATCAACAAATCAGCTTGCTTATCTCTGCTTACCCTAGGCAAAAAATGCTCATCTTTGAACTCAATCATGACATTGACCTAGTGAACGCCTACACCAAGTTTGAACATTCTAGCTTAATTAGAAGGAGAGTTCTTGTGTTCCAAAGTCCCGGCCCTTCAAATTGCTTCTATTTTTCATTTTCAATTCAAAATGGTGACCATCACGTGACCGAAATCAAAATTCTGATCCGATAGATTTTTAGGTATTCCTTCCAGGATTCCGAAAATATGACGCCCGAGTCTGTAAGTAAAATAGCAAAAAAGCCTTTTTGATTTTTCACGTTTAAAGATGGTGGCACTTCCGGTTCGATCGACAAACTCCATATTTTGTGTACGAATCAGTAATTACTTGTCTAGTATCGAATTTTTTTTTTAGGTCATTCTGACCTATATTTCGACGATTTTTTTTGAAAACTTTGATCCTTAATTTCACCAAGGGGAGATAATTTAGAAAATTTCCAAGGACATCATTGAAGTCGCATTGGCAAGATCTACTAACATTCTAAATTTCACGAAAATCGCACAACTATTAAAGAAGTTGTCAAATTGGTAATAACTTCCGGTTCGAAATGACAGCGAAGAATTTTCGAAATGAAAAAATCCGAAATTGCAGATTTGAAGTAAATGTTTCAAGATACTCAAAGAAAAAAGAATTAGTAAAATAGGTCAAATAGTCACAGAGTTACAGCATTGTAGGTCAAATGCATTCCTTCGTAAAATTCGGTGATTTCGGATTCGTAAAACGTTTTGAAAATATATTTAATCAACAGCCACCACCAATTTTTGGGGGGATAGGTAAAAGTTTCAGAACGATCCTATGGTTAGATTCTGAGAAATCCGATTTGTGGACAAAACACAAAAAAAAAATAACAATAATAATCTTAACAGAAACAATAAGCTTTCATATGTAATATGAAAGCTTAATAATATTAATCTTAGTAATAACAATAGTCTAATAATAATAATTTTAGTAATCTCAATAGGCTTTCAGTGACCATTGAATACCGCCCGGTGTGATAGTTTGAGTTGACTCCTGGTGTGTGTTTTCTCCTGGGCACTTGCGCATGTCCGAAACTGATGTTTGCCTTAACAACGAAACTATATATACTTCCTGCAGTATGAGTTGGTTCCTGAACACTGGTCAGTACAGGAAAAAATATATCATGTACTTGATTAGAGTTTTGTCATTAATAAAATACTTGTTGACGTGATTAGCTGTTGTTTTAGCGATCAGTAGTTACACGATCAACGGATCTAAGTTGATTGGCTTGAAATTGATACTTTGTTCGTTATTTGTTGCCGTTTGTTTTTTTTTAGTGATTAGTCGTTCTACACACGTACAATCAGTGGAAACCATACAAATTGATGATTGGCTTGAAATTATCAATTAATTCACCTCCAAGGGAAGATTAAGGCCTTTGATATTTCGTGGCTTCATTTAACACAAATATAAAAGTATGGAATTTCTTATTCCGATTTCTTTAACATAAATATAGATTTATTACACCATCCCACACGTACATTCAAACATGCATGTAGACAGCTCAAATACAAGAGAGAATGTTCGCATTGTGGACGGGTATATAAACTAAATAATAATAATAAAGATCGTCAATTTGCATCCTCTCTTAGTGGTAATATTGTAAATATATAATAGTCTATAATATATTGATTTTACCGTAAGAACATCTTAGGGGAAATTCTATCACGAGGAGTCAATGCACACCGCGTCTGTAACGGTGTGAGGTGACTCTTACAACTGCGCATGCGCCAAACGGTAATCACACACCAGGGACCATCTGAAACTGCCACATTTTTTATTCGATTGTTCAAGAGAGTGCAATGAAAGCACACATTAATTTCTTGTCAACAAAAATCACATACACGAGTTATCTCCCTTCAGGCGAGTGAGCGTGAAACCCCGATTTGGGCACAAAACAGCGAGGCTTCTTAAATTCAACTAAATTGTTATTTTGTATTTCCAAAGTCAACAAATTGGAGTTATTGGATGTTATTTTGGAGTTATTGGGTGTTATTGGACAGTTATTGGGTGTTATTAGGTGTTATTGGGTAATTCGACGTGCCGCAATACTATTTATTAGGCCTACTATTAATAACAAAACAAATGTCTGCCTGACAACGGTGGCCTAGAGACTCCTACTAGTACTAGACTGGGTCTACAATCAAGGAACAGTTAACTCAACGTACAAACGATTCAACACCTGTCTAAAGAAATGGGTGATTATATTGAAGTCCACACAGGAGAAAGAAATACTTTTAGACTCAGTGGTAGACCTTGCGAGATTTCATCCTATGCTTTTGTTCCAAAAATCAGAAGTGATCCCCCAGAAAGAACCTATTTCAATACTCCTCAGACTCCGGGTCAGAACATTGACGAAAGGGTATGTAAATTGTGGCAACTTAATTGCTTTCTAAAGGTGTAACCAAAGTTATTTTTGTTGATACAGTCAAATATGGTTAATTATTGATTCTATAATGGTAGAGGCCTAATAATAATCATGATGACTCAGATGAGTCAACTTTTATTTTTGTACCTGGCAAAAAGTTGTTTTAACATTGAAAATAAATTACGCAGTGGCTATTGTTATGACGAGTCATAAAAATAGTCCTCAAGCTATTGTTACCAGTATGCTTTTAGAGCCCTCCATCGGCGAAGTTAAAATTAAAAACTGAATAGTCGTAAAAATAGTCCTGTGGCTATTGTTACGACCATCGATTTCTATTACTCCTCTGAATCAATGGATTTCAACTTCACTACAGGCCCGGATCCAGGGGTCTGTGCCCCCTCCCCCAGCCCACGCCACTAATGCAATGCATGTGGCACTCTGATGATTACCCTTTGCTCCAATGTATGCCGCCCCCCCTCGACAAAATCCTGGATCCGGGCCTGACTAGGGTTGGGGTTAGGGTTAACCCTAGAAATGGTTCCACTACTGATGTCTTCCGTCTTGCTCCAGCCACAGTACAGTAGTGGACCGTCTAAGGACTTCCTTTGTAGTCAATTGACTAAAAAAAAGTTACTGGCCTATAACTTCCTTAATTTCCAATAACACTGTTCAGTTTAAAATGGCTGTCAAACCAGAATGACGGGGTGTCATTTCACCCGAAAAACTGTTTGGTAAGATAAGATTATGATTTCAGTGTTCCACTCTTCACTATTTGTAACATAATTACTTATTTCCGTGCCAACTGTGAAGATATGTGTTGAAAATTTTGCAATTGAACCTAATTTTAGTTGCTCAAAGCCTCAAATAGTTTATCAATTGCAGCCGTAAATAAGAATTATCACGGCTAAAAATTGCAGCTAGGTTAACCCTAACCTAAATTTTGCCGATGGAGGGCTCTGAAAGCATCATCGTAACAATAGCCTGAGGACTATTTTTACGACTCGTCGTAACAATAGCCACTGCAAATAAATTAGATGTTAGTAGTTAGGCCTAGGATATTTGCAGTCCTGTGAAGTCCCTACAAACAACATTTTATAGCAGGTTCATCCCATTGTTCCATAAATGTTTAAGGTCATGAGATGAAGACGCCTATTGATTTTCAGCGATTTCCGATAATTACTGCCAAAGTTATGGCCCTTGATCACTTTGAAAAATCTTGTGACGCTCTAGAGGCTAAAGTTATCATCCGATTGACTTCAGATTGATACACAGAGTTTAAGGTCTTGAGACGAACAAGTATATTGATTTTCAATGAATCTTTATGACTTGAACAGCTAAATCCATGATGTTAAAAGTTTCGTATACTAAACGTTAGCATGGGCCCAAACTTTATAAAAACCAAACAAATTCTAATTGTTTTCTGATAATTACTTAATGAGTTGTTACTCTTAATCAGATTTTAATGTATTATAAAGTTTCATTACCGAAAAAAGTAAAAATATGCGACAACTCTTGTTGACTGCCCGGACGATATAGCTGCTGTGGGCATATGTTTCGTTGCCTGGCAACCTATCTATAACTATTACATAGTGAGAACTGCCAGCTCTATCAAATCTCCCATAATGTATCTTTTAATTAGTGAAACAATGAAAAATATTCAATTTTAACAACTTCTTTAAATAACTTCAAGAACTATGGCCTTCTATTCTCCTATGAATGGTCTGACAACCTGATTTATAAACCGATCTGTATGGATTTGCATTTATATGTGTAATCTAAGTTAGGAAATTGAACTTGAAGCTATGGGCCCTGTTTCACTTTGTATAACCTATAAATGTTTGTTTGTACATGTATGTTTGTTCATTCTACAGAATTTGACAAGAACTATCAGTGACCGCCCTAGACTCTTAAAACCTTTAGCCAAATTTTTAGCCAATTCAAAATTTTATTAGCCAATTCAGAAAGTTTTAGCCAAATATTTTATATCATTTTTATTCATATGTTTGTTAATTAAAAATGAAAATAAATGTGTGTGTGTGTTTGTTGTATTTTACGTCCGCTTCCACCGAGGTGATATCGCGGACAAAATAAATGTTTAATATGTACTTTTATTTTATGATCAGTAGTGGAATATCGCGTTTTATCAGTGAAATAAAAGTGTTATTCCACTGGCTAGTTGTTTTTACCTAAAATGATTGTAAAATCATAAAATAAATAGAACATTTGTCGTTTTGTCGTGAATAACATATTTTATTTCATCTCTAAGCAAGAAAACGTTTATGTTTTCACTCATGCTACGCATTCGTGAAAATATAAGTTTTCTTGCTTCTCGATGAAATAAAATATGTTATTCACTCTAAAACGACAAATATCCTCTATATATAGTACACAAGAATATTATTTTATCTCCTTGTTCATGCAAAAGTTCACATTATTGAGAGAATGAATGCAGATAACAAAAAAATGTTTATAGGACGTACTTCACAGTCACATGATTTAATTTACTTCATCGTCATAACAGAAAAGACACGACGATTCTTTTTAAGACACCGCTGATTTGAAATTTATGTCTGGTCCATCCATTTTTATAAGCATGAGGTCATTGAGGGTCAGCTCGACGGTCTCGGTTAAAGGTCTAATTTTTGTCCACATGTTGATGAAGCCAACGAAGGACTTGCGTCCGAGATGACACGCTCACTCACGGAAGTAGATTCTGGACTAACAGTAGTCGTAGGAAGGAAAAAGGAATCTATCCTTATTTTGGGTTTACTAGTATTAGTTGTCATTAATGTGCGTTTTATTTATTTGCTGCGTAAGTAAAGAAAACTTGTAGTGAAGCGAATGTAAACAACGCAGTGCCACACAAAAGGGGCGTAACTGTGTTTTATAGTCTCCAGACTCGATCTTTCGGTCGTATTAATGCGTAATATTGTAACATTGACTGATTTGCGACTTGTAAGATTGAGACTAGAGTAATTAATGTACTAAAAATAGACACTCCATCGAGTCGATCGAAAGAAGCGTTTAACGAGACGATTTCAAGTTTAATATTAGCAGATTTACGAAATAACACTCTCTAAAATTCATTCGCCAAATTTTTCGCCAGTATCATCACTTTATTCGCCAATAAAAATAATTGTCGCCATTGGCGAATTGGCGAATGTCTAGGGCGGTCACTGAACTATTAAGGTCAGTTGCAAACACAAAAGCTACCATTGTAAAGGATAGATTTTGGCATGGATAATAAATGATACCAAATGTCTCCACTCTTGTTAATATTTCAGATGACAGACAAGTGTCAGTCTTCAAATTGTGTATAGTTTAATGTCACTTTAAGATTTGAAACTGTGATTTTTTATGTCTGTCAGTAAGGAGATCTTTGATTAGGGCCAAATGTCTAGAATTAGATTTTTAACTTATCAGTATTAATTATAGAGATGCAATGATGCATAGTGTCTAGTATAGTGTGTAGTTTGATACCATGTTTAATGTATAGGGGTTCTGTATAACACTGTGCGACTTTCAGGGAATGTATCTCGCGACGTGTGTTCTCTAAGTATCGGAAATGAATAGAGATTCTTGGAATGCACTTTATTTCAGGAGTAAATAACAGCAACAATTAATCAACTTATAATTTCCTATAAATCAGACTTCCAACTAGTAATAGGTTCCCTAAGTTGTGTCTCCAACTAATGAATCATCTTAAATACATTTGTCTTTTTATACGCCCACATTTTCATGTGGATGTATATTGTTGTCACCCCTGTCCATCCGTCCACAATTGTTTGTGAACACTCTACAGGTCATAATTTTTATCCGATTTCAATGAAACTTGAAATATAGGTTTATCACCCTAAGATCTTCGTTCATTTCGATTTTGGCATGTATTGGACAGTAACTTCATGGATTATGGCCCCTGATTGTACGAAAAATCACGTTTAGCTTGTGAACACTGTAGAGGTCACAATTTTTATCCGATTTGGTTTAAACTTGAAATGTGTCCTTATAACCCAAAGACCTCGGTTCATTTCGATATTCGCGCATATCAGAACTTAACTTCCTGAATTATGGCCCCTGATTGTATGAAAAATTGCGTTTTCAGCTTGTGGACCATACAGAGGTCATAATTTTTATCTGATTTAAAAAAACATATTATTATATCCCCGTTACACCATAAGGACGGCTAAGTTCGAATTTCGTGAAAATCGGCCCAAAATTGACAGACAAAATGGCCGCCCTTCGTTCTCAAATAGCGTAAGAATATGGTATATCAAGGTTGTGGACCCTATAGAGGTCATAATTTTTATCCGATTTTGTTGAAACTTGAAATGGGAGTTTATAACCCAAAGATCTTGGTTCTTTTGGACATTCAAGCATATCGGACCATAACGTCCTGAATTATGGCCCCTGATTGTACAAAAAATCTTGTTTTTAGCTTGTGGGTCCTATAGAGGTCATAATTTTTATCCAATTTAAAAAAAACGTATTATTATATCACCGTTACACCTTAAGGCCGGCTGAGTTCGAATTTCGTGAAAATCAGCCCCAAAACATATTATTATATCACCGTTACACCATAAGGACGGCTAAGTTCGAATTTCGTGAAAATCGGCCCAAAACTGACAGACAAAATGGCTGCCCTTTGTTCTCAAATAGCGTAAAAATATGGTATATCAAGGTTGTGGACCCTACAGAGGTCACAATTTTTATCCGATTTTGTTGAAACTTGAAATGTAAGTTTATAACCCAAAGATCTCAGTTCCTTTCGATAATCGCGCATATCGGACCGTAACTTCCTGAATTATGGCCCCTGATTGTACGAAAAATCACGTTTTTAGCTTGTGGACCCTATAGAGGTCATAATGTTTATCCGATTTAAAAAATTGTTTTATTTTATCACCGTTACACCCTAAGGATGGCCGAGATCGAATTTCGTGAAAATCAGCCCAAAATTGACAAACAAAATCGCCACCCTTCGTTCTCAAATAGCGTAA